CAAAACAAACAAATCAAACTGAGTAAAATTAAAAAATAAAGTTACGAAAAGCGTGCAACATATAAAATTTTAGACGCGCTTAAACACAATTAAAAAAAATTAATGATCATTGCATGTGTCTATATTACAAAAAGGAAGGAAATGTATATTTGTGAGAAATTAAAAACTTGATTCATTATAGAACAACGATATATTCAGAATTACATAACTCTTAAATGTAAGACGAATCTCAGTGAAAGCATGATTGGTTTGGGATATTTCTGGTAAGTTACTTATGTTTGTGGCAAAACTGCTAAACTTCTATAAATTTTTGACGTTAACTAAATTATCGATCTAGAAGAGTTGCATTTATTATCATTCTGTTATTATAAACGTTAATATTATGCATTTTTTTTATCCAAACATAAAAGTAATATACGTAGAAGAGTATGATCAATTTCGGTGCAATTTTATTTTATAGTCTCTTTGCTGCAATATTTGTTTCGAAATGGAAGCTTGCGTATATACTGTATCAACATTAAATTAACGTAATAGATGCAAATTAATGTTCACAATGGTTGTCTTCATATTGTGCTCTAGTTTATATGATGTTAATTTTATATGTACGAAAGATACTCGTTTGAGAATATTAGTTTCAACTATATTGTCATAGCATAGTTGGTTGAAATGTGATCTCCAAAACTGAGAAAATTAAGTCATTGCTAATGCAGCTATTTTCAATTTAAAAACGGATTTTGTATCTGCTTATTTCAGAAATATCTCTTTGTTTGTTTTTATTTTGCTTATAGTACTGCAAGATGGTCACTTTATCATTAACACTTCTCCTTGCGATTCTCCTGGAAATCTGTAGAGCTAACGACGTCCTCTATATTCCATCTCCTCCAACCATGGTTGTTCAGCCATCACAACCAGAACAGTTTTATCACGTGGTGCTCACAAAAGGCGAGCCCATTATTCCAGTAACCCTGAAGTGTGAGGCTGAAGGGGATCCACAGCCTCTGTAAGTATACTTTGTTGTAAAGTGTATACTCCTGTTTGTTGTGATTATTATTAATATAGTAATTTCATTTGTCATTCCTAGCTCGGAGTACTAGCAGTGATCTTTCTGCCGTTTAAATGTCCTGAGTGATATAAGTCTTTTATACCTGGTTACCTACAGTCATGGCCAAAATGTTTGCAGAATGTTTTATATTAATGTTATTGTCTACATGCTTAGAGTAGTTATTGAGTAAATGCCTGAGTAGTAACAGAGAAGGTAGCGTATGATCGGACAATCATGTGTGAGTTGTTTTGAGCATTTGTTAATCAAAACACATATACACGCCTGTTTGTATAAAATGGTGTGCTTTTGGTATAATCTTTTTCGAAACAGATCAACGCTTTGTTCAAACAATTTCTCTGTACTTGATGTAGAGTCATGCCTCGTCACGTGCCAGAAGTTTTAGACCGCCAAATTGTTCGACTGTCCAGAAATGGTATGAAACAAATTAACAATGCCAGAACAGTAGGGTACCCCCAGTGTACTGTATCCAGAATCCTGAAACATCATCGAACTACAGAAAACATTGTTTCAGGAAAGTCTACTGATAGGCTCAGAAAACCTACTGCCCAGATGACAGTGTTTTGATCACGTTAACACGTCAAGGACAAAAGCAGTCTTGTAACACCTTATGACAGAAGAAATGGCATGGACATATTCGTTTCAGGATATCAAGAAGAACATTGAACAGGAGACCGATCAAACAAGGTTACTTTGCAAGAAGGGCTATCTGCAAACCAATATTAAACAGAACTCACCGTCACTATGCTACTTAGGAAAGACAGCATGCCAAGTTACAGTTAGGACACTGGCGACATGTCATATTTTCAAATGAGTACTGTTTCCGGCTTGTTAAGGCTGGTGGCAGGACTTGTATTCGTTGTTTGCCTGGAGAACAGATGAGGAAAGACTGTCTTTCCTACAGGAAACACACAAGAGGTGGTGCAGTATATATTTGGGCAGCTATTCATAATAGTGGAAAATCTGCTCTTCATATCCACCAGGGAAACGTCAATGGCGCCTTCTACAGGTATCACACGGTGACGACTTTTCTGCCATATGCTAGGGCAAGGTTTGGCAATAAATTTGTATTCCAGGATGACAATACCACTTCCCACAGTGCACGTATTGTACAGAATTATCTCGACCAGGAGAATGTTGCAAGACTGCCATGACCAGCAAAGTCTCCAGATTATAATCCCATTGAGAACTGTTTGGTAGAACTGAGCCAGAAAACTTCTAAAGACGACCCTAAACCAGCTACTGTAGCTGAGTTTCAACGACTTCTAGTGACTAGTTGGGATGAAATCACGGTGGATTACATCAATAACCTTATTGACAGCATGCCGCGTTGCCTTGCGGAGGTTATTGGAGTACGAGGAGAACCAACCAAGTACTGAATGTTTACTATGAACTGATATAAGGTTACATATACTATTTATAATAACTTGATGTTATATTTTTCCACTATATATGTTTGGTAAGGTTTTATTGTGATAGGTGAAATGCTGAATTGCACATTTTTCTACAGATATATGATAAAATTATTTGCTGTTCTAGTGAATCGTTCATGATGCCCATAGATCCTGTCTCACTATACAAATTACACTGGCCCGGCATCGCCAGGTGGTTAGGACACTCGACTCGCACTCTGCGGGTCGCGGGATCGAATCCCCGTCACACCAAACATGCTCGCCCTTTCAGCCGTGGGGGCGTTATAATGTGACGGTCAATCCCACTATTCGTTGGTAAAAGAGTAGCCCAAGAGTTGGCGGTGGGTGGTGATGACTAGCTGCCTTCCCTCTAGTCTTACACCCCTAAATTAGGGACGGCTAGCGCAGATAGCCCTCGTGTAGCTTTGCGCCAAATTCAAAACAAACAAACAAATTACATATGTAGATATTTAATATAACATGCATTTCTTAGTTTGACAGCGCTAAGTGTATTTGTATTCCATCTTAATAACAATGATCTTATTTGTTACAAAATATGCAAACATTTTGGCCAAGGCTTTATATTTTCTTTTCTGCGATGTAGTGTTTAAGCAGGTATTTTTTGTGAACTAACTTTGAGTTGATGAGAAAAAAAAAGTTTAATTTGTGTTACGACGTTAGTTTTTGATATTTAATTGGCCTTTTTTATTCATGCTCTAGTATAAAAGTAGCTAAGCGATGCAAGTGTGATTTGGTTAGTAAGTTATGACTTAAAATAAGTGTGTTTTCTAAGCTTCTTTTGGTTAGCACAAATCTTATATGGACCGAGTGATAACAATATGAATTGCTATTTGTCCGTACTGGTAATAAAAGATGTTTTATAGCAGGGCCGTAGACAGGGAGGCAAAGTTTACTAATCATCTCAAATGCTCTTTCCTAAAACTCACCAATAGGTACCACTGGACAAAAAATGGAAAACGTTTTGACCTTGACCTCGTAGGAGAAAGAGTGACACAACTTAGAGGAGTAGGTACACTGAATTTCTCCTTTCCTCAAGCTTCGGATGAAGGAAGGTATCAATGTTTTGCAAAGAATACACATGGCGTATCATTATCTAACAGTATTTTCCTAAGGAAATCAGGTAAGACAGTCTTTGGCTGTGTAGATGAAACTTAGCACAAAGAAAAACGTGTAGTCTTGATTACAATTAAACTTACGGCCACAAAACTGATCAAAACTAAACACGTCCTTCCAGCTTGAACCTGTACTAAAATTATAACTTTGTGATGAAAATATAATCTCTATTAAATTTACTTTTATGAATATCGTGTTCAATTTTTTGTAATAGTTTATTTTTGTGAGAGTTTGTGCATGTTAAACAAATATATTTATTTTGAAACAATTATCATTTTATTACAACCATTTCTCTTGTAATAAGTTATTGTTTGTTTTGTTCGTAATTTTTATTTAGTTCGACCATTTTAATAGTTTCTTTCTAGAGGGTTATTTATCGTAGGCTTACTTATATTGCAACCATTATCTTTTCACTCTTAGTTATTATCAAATACAAATATGTCTAAAAATAAAGTTGGTTTCACGTCAAAGTTATGCGCCTAATAGAAATATAGATGATTAAAAAGAATTCCACTCTCCCGTCTTTACAAACGTAGATTCTTAATAAACCATGTTACACAATAATATTTTTATATACTGGAAAGTATATCTATAGTGTAACCGGGGGTTTATTTCAAACGCCAATTCTAGAGGTCGCGACTTCTTTGTGAAAAATGTTTAGAAACGAGGAGGAAGATATATGTGCAGGCTCTTAGAATTGGCATTAACTGCTATGACTGTCATGTTTTAACATTGGATCTAAATATATTTTCAACTGCACAATAGCTGTCGTTTTTCATTAAGGGGCTTGGTTGTGCGGGCAATATAGGGGGCATAAGTCACTACGAAGATGATCTAGCGACGTGAAGTTGCACGTGACAGCACTTCAATATTTCCACACAGCTTTTAAAATTCAAGGACAATCAGTTGTCGAGTGCATATATAGTTTTACCGCATGACTTCTTGGTACGGGGAGGATTCTAGAAATGCGTATTATGTATATAAAATAAAAATCATGGTAACTTTTATATGTCTGTATTTCATAGTGACTGTGTTTGCTATTTTACCGGTACACACCATTACTTGTGTATTATTTAGTGTACGTCGTTTCTAGCATCAAAATTTACAGAAAGTAATTGAAGAGTATTATAAACGTCAGAGTCTAGTGAATGACAGAATTTGTAAATGTCAGTGTCCCAATTTTAATAACGTTCGGCATCTGTTGATCACCGTCCAGCTTCTCTGCCAGATGTATACGCCGTCAGGTAAATATTGTTACGACAGCGGAAGTCACGTGACTATAGTAACACGTCATGAGCTTCTAGAACGTTCGTGTCCCTTCGTGAAGCCTCGAGTGTTTACTAGATATGCGGTATTCTTGTATATAAGACCGCCAAGAAGTGACGGCAGTTGAAATGCAGACAGAGATAGAGACGGACAGTTGGGTCGAGCGCGTGTGTCGTTCGTTGTGAATTATAGCGTGACCGTGGAAATTAAGTGTATTGCAAAGTTGTATTGAGAAAGAATAAACTAGTTTGATTTAAGAAAGGACTTGTATTGGTGAAGTTTTTCGGAAAGAATTTGTACGGAAAATTAACAAATGACCAAGGACTTAACAATATTTTGACCTACAACGGAAATATGGCCAGATATCAATAATCAACAAGTACTCTTAGTTGCTCTAAAAGTGATTAAATTTACTGAGTATTCATTATCATGGAATAATATGTCGGGGAAGGCAAGAGTGTACGCTGAAATTCAGTTTTAGCCTTTAGGGGAGGGGGGCAGTGTCCGAATTTAAAAAAATGACAGTTTAGTTTCTAACTGATACTTATGTCTGTATTTTAATTTAAAATGTATACTATGTTAAATATTTTGGGAGGGAAAATATCGAATCATTTAAGTATTACAAATATCTAATAAATAATACCAAAATTGGGAGATACGACGTTTAATTTTTGTAATAAATAAATATAAAACATTCAAGGAGTTATTCTGTGTTTATATAAGATATATTGTGTTCTTTGTTACATGTGATATATAGTCAAAATAAATAGTGAAAGTTATCTTATCTTGCTTGACCAATTTCCAGTTATATTGATCAACTCTATTTATAGTTAAGCCAAAAGAGGTGGCTGTATTGTATTCGGATGAGTAGTTAGTATATTGACCTCCTCAGAATAATCATGTCAATTAAAATATATATATATATATCAATTTAAAAATATAAACTTCATGTTAATTTCTCATTGTTAAAGTCATGCAAAGATCAATAAATCTGGTTTCGATACGCATGATAGACACAACACAGATAGCCCATTGTGTAGCTTTGTGCTATACAACAAGCAAACAAAATTGATACAAACGTCATGAATAATAAATAATATTAAGTTCTTTATTGTTGTCCAAAATAAAGCAAAAATTGCTTATTTGCTATAAAGGAAAACAAACGCACTGACAAAATAATAATAATAAAACATTTACAATGACGTTCACCAGAAATATAATTATTTTAATTATCTATAGCACACTTGCATTCTCAAAAATATAAAGATGAATACAAAATTTGAGAATGTAAGTATATATTTAAAACAATTTTTTTTCTTTCTTCCAGAATTAAACTTTTTTCCAAAAGAAAAAATAAAAAAGATAGAAGTCAAGGAAGGATCTCCTCTCAGTTTAAATTGTTATCCGCCCAAAGGGCATCCGCAGCCTTACGTGTTTTGGATGATACAGCCCAACAGCGGTGAGCCTCGTAATATCAACAGGTAGTCATTGTAACACTGTATTAGTTTGTTTTCTTGTCATATATAATGATGAAGTTTTCACTTACAAGTAATTTTGACTTTTGTGGGTACTTTTTTGGTCAAGTCACGTGTTACCTTTTATTAGTATAGCATATTTCTTTCATTTCTATTTTATATATATTTGTAGCATCTGTTAATTCTGTTGTTAAATGTATTACTGGAACACTGTTAAGATATAAAAACATTTTTACTTAAGAGTTAGGTCTACTTGCGACTCTAACATATGTATTGGAATACTCATCTCAAAATATTGTTATGATAGCCAACACGATCCCTGGGTGTTCTGGGATCGAACCCTGTAACCCTCATTTACCACGCAAGTACTTTATCAATTAAGCGAAAGAAAAAAGAAAAGAACGTTTCTAATAAGATATCATCATTTATAACGTTATCATCTATTGTTACAGCATGAAATTATTTTCTCTAAAATATTTTTGTAACTCAAAGTTAATTGTAATTATATCTGTGTATGGAAACACATTATGCTAATATATTAATAAATTGACAAACAACGGTTTCAAAGCATCATGTTTTGGTTTATTTTGGAGAAACCTACTACATTTTTCGACAAAAGAAATCCCTATAAATGGTTGTTTGCCAACTTATTATTATTTTTAATTATAAATAAATAATGTTACTTATGTAAATTGATTGTTATAAGATATTGGGTGAAGAGAGTTTTTAAGATATTTCATTTCATTTCCATGGGACATAAGGGTCCGATTGACCATCTATGTTATCCCATATTCTACTACCATCCTGCTCCAAACCTTTTTTTTTCTTCCTATATCCAACCCTGATCTCTAAAATACTCATCCGATCTCCTCTTAAGCATTTTCATTGTTGCAACTACTACAACACCTAAAGACAGTGTATTCCACCTTATAAGAAAAATAGCGTTGTTTTAACTGGAATTATTTCAGAATTTCCTACATCTTCAACTTGTATCCTCTAGTTTTACTACGTTTTTTATGAAAATGTTAGCTGGATTTATGGATTCCAAGCCTTTAATAATATTAAATCCACAATAATACCCTCCCCAACCCTTCTTCTATCCAACAAAAATATGTAAAGAGATTTTAACCTATCTTCGTACTATAAACCCTTAAACCCTGGAATCATCCTGGTAGCTTTTCTCTTAATCCCCTCCAATGATCCAATGTCTTTTATTAACTTAAATAAAATGACCAAACCATTCCAGGTAAGGCCGAACCATTATTTTGCAGAATGAACCGACGACTTCCTTTGACCCATACTCGACATTTCTATGTATACAATGTAATATCCTATTTACTTTATTCAAGCTAACGTACATCGTCTTGAAGAATTTAAAGATTTGGAAATAGCTATGTCCACATTTTTTCCTCACTGACGTCACTCAAAGTTTTCCCAGTTATTGTGATAACCAATGTGCATAACCTTACTTTTATTAAGTGTAAAGGGTATATGCCAGCTGTTTGTCCAAAAAGTAAATTTCATTTGAAAGTGAAAACGTCATTGGTGAACTTGGGCCAACAAGTTAAACTTTGGACAAGTGATAGTATTAATAGCCTATAGCAAATGTTATGTTAGAAATAAACTAATTTGTTATCGTTACGTGGACTGTACTCTTCTGGACTGAACTTAGCATTATTTTCACCAAATAATTCAAAAGAACCCTCTCAACGGAAAACAATGTTACAACAGTATATTAGAAATTTCTGATCAGGAATTTATTTGTTTGTTATTTCTGGAGTGGCTACTAGTATCATGGGTTTTTGTTACAACCTATGTTATAATTTATTTTTGTTTTATTCAATATTTATTGATTACATGTATTACACTTACACACTTCCTTTGTGAATGTAGATATCTATAAATATAATGTTCTGTCTTAATCTTGATTAGGATAAAAAAATACAATCATCTTTCTACTTGTCATATTATTATGATAAATAAACAAGTTTACCGTAATGTTTACTCAACTTATGAGTTGTTATGGTTTTATTCAGACGTGCTATTCAAAATCAGGACTGATACGTGACGCCAAATCATCTTGGGATCAATTTAAAATGTAAACTGAGAAATATATAGTTTTCCAAAACGGCGTGTTCGACCTTTATCCACTAAAGGTTGCGAAACTACGCTTCATCTTCATGACCTCAGTATACGATAAATGTTCATGTTACATACCACTAGCAAAACGTTTTGCTTAGTAAGTGAATAATAACCTAACTATTATATTAACACTCAACAAACTTTAATAATGAATGCACGGTCTTTCGTTCCGATCACAGATCCATCATTGCTGTTATCTGCTGACTTATCATCAAAAGTTGATTCTAGCTTAGTAAAATTGTGACGAGATATTTCAGAACAGAGGCGTCCCTAGCCATTGACATACGGGCCCGTGCCCCAAATCCCCAGTTGTTGTCTCGAAAAAATCAGAATGGAAAACTGTGATCGATATCATACTAAAACACCGAAAATTCCCGGGCACATAAGCGCCGAGCCCCGAATCTTTTTAGCATCTAGCGATCATGAGCGGATTTAACGATTAGCTAAAGCTGACCGGGCCCCTTTATATATATATATATAATATTTTTCGTAAATAAATTTTTAACTCTATTTTATTTTATTTTATTTATTAAGTCTATCAATTTATTGAGCTATATGTTGAAATTATTTGCTTTCGCTTGATTTATAATATTGGTATGAATAGAACCCATCGGGCCTCATTTTTTTAGCTAACTAGGCATTTCGGCTAGCGACGCCTCTGTTTTAGAACAACTTAAATTAGCTAAAACTATGTGTGATTGTAAAAATGTTTAGTTTGTTTGTTATTAATTGTCATAAAAATTTATTAAATTATGAGTCATTGTATGTGAATTACAACTGTAGGAATCCAAGTTTCTGAATAACTCGTGACCCCGTGTCATATTTTGCTGGTAAATTTAACAATGAATGCAGTAACTTTTGTTTTGTTTTTTGCATGCTGTACCAACTTTAAAAACCTAGTTTGTTTGTTTTTTCCTTTAAGATCAATATGTATATATATTAGTATAAATAAATATGCAGTTACAGAATAAGAACTTAACATCATGATATGTAAATTGGCGAAAGTTGTCAGCAACCACAAAACAATGAAGCGAAAATATCTTGAAATGTAATCCGTTGCGTTCTTGAATTGTATTTTAATATATACATCACTAAAGTTAAATGTAGCTTTAAGATCAGGGTCATGTCATATATAGAAATTGAAAGTGTTCACATTCAAACGGACGTTAAAGTTTAGTTTTATAAAGGGTGGATG